GAGGCTTAGGGAGTGGAGTTGTTTTGGTCGTGAGAAAAAGTCCTGCTGTGACAGGAATTGAACCCAGGACCCTGGGATCAGAAGGCAAGCATCTTAACCACTGAGCTATTCAACTCCACTCTACAATATAATTGATATTTCGGACATAAACACACATCAGTTGGAATCAGATAGAGCATCTTCCTTTTTTTTGTTTGGTGCATCCTCCTTTGTTTCACTTGTTTCATGTCATGATTAAACAGACACTTTTGCATTTTTTTATTGCGGTGACAATACGTCCAGGAGTGTTGTAGGCCTAGTGTTTATATGACGACAAAATCCAGGCCTATATAGTCAGGCCTAGCCTAGCTAGGCCTACTACTACTGTACTACTAACTAACCATAATGACCTGTGCAGACACGGAAGGAGTAGGGAAGCAATTCATCCTTGTGTAATCATCCACCCCATCATGGTAGGTAGGCCTGGCAATAAATGACCTGAATTTGTCCACCATCACCTAATTAATTACACACTAGCATCTGACACAATTAAAGAATAAGTATTAAAAATATTTTTGAAGTACCTGTTAAAATTAATTATACGACACCTTCTATACTATTCAGAATTTTGGTAGCAACTACGTAAAGCAAAATGTTCAATCGTAAATTTCCGCAGATCCAGTTTTATTTGGTTTTATCATCGCTTTGTTGCCGTCCGCCCTCTCTGTAAATCGGGAATTCCCCTCTTAAAATACAGCACAGAACATCAGCATACTTTTTTGTTTGTTTTGGTCAGCCTGAATGGTGAGTGGATAGATGAATGGTGGAGCAAGTATATGAGTACCATATTTATTAGTTAATTATTAATTATTATTATTCTATTTTATCCTATTTTTATTATTTTTGTTTTTACTTTATTATTTTATTATTACTATATGTAGTAATCGGGAATTCCCCTCTTAAAATACAGCACAGAACATCAGCATACTTTTTTGTTTGTTTTGGTCAGCCTGAATGGTGAGTGGATAGATGAATGGTGGAGCAAGTATATGAGTACCATATTTATTAGTTAATTATTAATTATTATTATTCTATTTTATCCTATTTTTATTATTTTTGTTTTTACTTTATTATTTTATTATTACTATATGTAGTAATCGGGAATTCCCCTCTTAAAATACAGCACAGAACATCAGCATACTTTTTTGTTTGTTTTGGTCAGCCTGAATGGTGAGTGGATAGATGAATGGTGGAGCAAGTATATGAGTACCATATTTATTAGTTAATTATTAATTATTATTATTCTATTTTATCCTATTTTTATTATTTTTGTTTTTACTTTATTATTTTATTATTACTATATGTAGTAATCGGGAATTCCCCTCTTAAAATACAGCACAGAACATCAGCATACTTTTTTGTTTGTTTTGGTCAGCCTGAATGGTGAGTGGATAGATGAATGGTGGAGCAAGTATATGAGTACCATATTTATTAGTTAATTATTAATTATTATTATTCTATTTTATCCTATTTTTATTATTTTTGTTTTTACTTTATTATTTTATTATTACTGTATGTTTAGTTGAATATCCCATAAATAATGTTTAGACTATAGTTGTGCGGTATTGCTTTATTGTATACAGGAATATTGTAATGTTTCGATGGGGCAGGGTCAATGTATACAATTACTATTCTGTATGCATATATGTATGTACATTATGTATTTTTCAGTGTCGGTATTGTAGAAATACCAAATGTTTGTGTGTAAGTCTTCAAGTAACCAAAATCCTTGGTATCCAAATACATAGGGTATAGAGGGTAATTCTGTGTCTTATGAATGTTGTCGACATCATATTTAAGTCATGACCGTGGCAAATAGAACATAGTATAATAATAGTAAATACATGATATTATAAATAATGTAATTTTGTCCGTGATCTGGCATTACTGAGAAGTACATTTTAGAAATGAAAAACAAAATAAAATGGACCACCGCTTCAATGATCACGTTTTTGTGCATTCCATCATCCTCACACTTGCGTGACCTTTCCCTTTCACACACACAATGTTTGTCCAATTACAAGGTATAATTACTATATTATTTAAAAGTATATAAACATAAATAAAAATAAATAAATAAATATTAAACCTTTTTTTTCAAAATGAGTTAAGTAATATTATTTTCTTAATACTTGATAGGAAAATCGTTTAGGCGATTAACTGTGCCCTCTTTTGTTCATAAAATACACCATCAATTTGTTTAAATCCTATAAACTTTTTGATCAGGATAGATGACGCGATTGCGTCATAATATTCTTATGGTGGATGAATATTTCTTTTTGAGATTTGTATAAAATATCAAAAATGTAATAATTAATTGTATTTTTTATTAAAATTAAAGATCATATTAAATTATTTATTATAGTAATTTCCAAAAATAAAAATAATAATTGCACGTTTTATTGCTGTTTTCTAGTCTTTAAGATTTTATTCTCGACACAGTAATAATGTCGTTGTCATGAAATTATCAATACGATGTAACCCAGTGTAATGTTGCCATGTCAAGTTTTCATGTTTTTAATAAAATAAACCAATGCTCGTTTGTGGATTTTAAAAGTGAATTATTTGCATGGTATGTGTCCTCGAAATAGAAAAGCAATTTTAGACTTTATGGTAATAAAAGTATGGAGAAGGATTACAATTTATTTTATTTCCTGAAAAGGGAATCGAAAAATTTGTTAGAACATTCGATAAAATCTTTTACCAAGAAATATATTATTATTCAGTTAATTTAGAGAGCGTATACTTTGATTATATTTTTATTATCTACTTTAGGTTCAATGATATGCCAAACAGCAAAATATTTTTTTTGAAGTGGCATATCTCTTCTCAAGACGAACATAAACACAAGATGCGTTACAAAAACTATGAGGCGCCTTACTCATTATGAGGCTTATGGAATAGAGTTGTCTTTGTTTTTTGGACGTGAGTACAATTTATATTACTGAAAAAAAAAGCAAGAACCTGAGACTGAAAGGTAAACATTTTAACCCACCAAGCTATTCAACATTGCAACTTGTGCAACGTTCATTGCAATCCCTTCTTCTTCGGTTTCAGTGAGTCGTTTTTCAGTGTTTTAGTTGCCCGAGTTTAATTATCTGTGAATATTTTAATTCTAATACAAATGTGATAATATCACCAGTTACTTAACAACCATTGACCATCAACTGAGCGAGTTTCCAATATTATGCTAATCATGGTATGTTTGCTTGCGTATATAAACTTTGAAATTTCACACGGGCGGGCAGTTGTTTCTTGTGTTGAGCGTTGAAAATTAGTATATAGCAATGATGAAATCTGTCGTCCTGTTAGCCACACTTGTGTGCGTTTCGTCTGCTTTTCCCGAATTCACGGTGGATGTATTAAGGAAGGAGTTATCTGAATTCGGGAGCGGCAACTTCGAATCCAATGTAGTTGAATTGGCAAAGACACTTAACCTGAACACTCTTGTTGAACTGATTACCGAAGCGGGTATTGCAGAAGAACTTACAGGTTTGGAAGTATATTTTTTGATAGTTTTGGTGGTGAATAATTAACGCTGAGTAGCACTAGTACCATTATATCGACTTGAAATCACAACAGGTTTTTGATTTTGTCACTCATTCCTAGCATTCAGTAGGCCTCCTATATATCAGACCATTCTAAAATATAAATGTAACTATAGCTGGTGCATGAACTGTGATTATTTTAGGTGACCTGACGGTTTTCGGCCCTACTGATGACGCATTCGAGGAACTTCCGAAGGGTGTTATGGCGGCAATTAAAAATGATGTGCAAATGCTGACCGATGTACTGCGCTACCACATCCTTGGAACCAAAGTCCACTTCAACCAACTTAAAAAGAATGAGCTTCTTCTGCCAAGTCTTCTAAAATCAACTTCCGTCCGTATCAACACGTACGGCGAGGTAAGCCATCGTTGTGCTTGACGACCGAGCACTGCATTTTGTAATTAATAGATAATAAATAATTCATAACATAACACGCCTAGAATACTAATTTGGGGCCCAGCGGACAATTGTTAGGCGTTTTTTTTTTCTCTATTGTATTGTACATTTTACTAGTCCTTTCGCGCCCGCAGTCTTCGAAAATCACAGATTAAAAGGCATGAGAACTACATTGCTATAGTTAAATTGATTACTGAATTCCAAAAACGTTTGATTAATTACAGCTTACCACAGCAACTGGATCGCCAATCTCGAAACCAGACAACATCGCCACTAACGGTGTCATCCATGTAGTAGATCGTGTTATGTTTCCTATTCCTATGAATGACATGCTAACTTTGGTTTCTAATAATGCGAATTTCTCAACGCTACTGAAAGCGATTAGAGTTTCGGGCTTTGCAGACACTCTAAAAGGTAAATCATTATTAAATTATTGGCTTAACAGCCAATGATTTCTGCAAGAACATTAATTAAATATTTATTCAGCAAGATTACTACAATATTACCATTTTCTTCCAGGTGGTCCATACACTCTATTTGCCCCAACCAACGAGGCGTTCAATAAACTTCCACCTGGAACACTTGGTAAACTACTAGGCAACAAAGACGAGCTATTTAGAATCCTCTCGTATCACCTGGTAAATGGAACGTTCTTTAGTGCTGAATTAAAACGTGTTGACAAAGTAAAAACTACCACGACAGATGACATCACAATTAAAATTTCTAGTGGCGGTAAGTACATTCAGATTTATTTAAAAATATTTAGGACAAGAAAATGCGTTTAAAATGTGTTTTAAATTGACTGCCATTTGAATTGATAACTATAAAAATTGCTTTTCAGAATTATCCGTCAACGACAAAGCCACCGTGATCATAGCCGACGCTGCAACAACCAACGGAGTCGCGCACGTGATTGATACTGTGCTCCTTCCTCCAAACGTGGTGTTCCAGTTAGTGATGACAAATGCATAGATATTTCTCATGTATATAACGTATAAGGTTCCCAAAAATAAAAGTAAATTTTCGAAACTGTAAATTGTTCGTCATTACTTGCGTCATTACTTGTGCACACCACACAACTCATTTTCAAGAAAATCCAACTATTTTTAAATAGTTTAAAAATGCTGCAAAAATAGCAAAAATTGAATCGATAAATCAGCATTTATAAATCGATGTTTAGTAATCTAGATGCGTTTCACATCTTGTTTATTTGGGAATAATTGTTATTTTAGGGAAAAGGTACAGGGCAGCTACTAATAAGTGTTTAAAAGTATTAATGAGATACATTGATTAGGTAACTATTTTAACTTGAAAAAATGCATGATTTAAGTTGGTTTATTGATTAGTTTTATTACTAAATAATTATTATACCTATACACACACCACATATACACACACCACATATATACACGCACATGTATATATGTATGTGTACAATGTATATATGTGTATATATGTATATATGTATAATAATTATTTATATTGCCATGTTATTCGGTTCCATGTTCATGGGCCGCAAAAACAGTGTTTTGTGCGGCTTGGATTTAATCATTTCTATAAAAATGCAATGCTTTTCTGGAAACAAATGACGATTTTGGTTCAAAACTTGGGTCTATAATTCCTAAAAATATATGAACACGTTTTTCTTTTTACTCGGGTCTACAGGCAGATGGGAAGTACTGTTTATTCATATGACGGCAGCTTAACTAGTTTGTAAGGGGCCCTGGATCAAGAGTACAATCAATAAATAACAAACAATAAATTCTTCTTCTTTAATTTTTAATCTTTGAGAACTGTAATAAACAGTTTGACAAAAAATTTATTTTTTATTTAACCATTGAAAAATGTCAACAATTATCTTGTGTCTGTAATAAGTTTTATATATTTGACCTTAATAAAATGAAATGGATCACACCTGACATCATTAGACTTATGTATGATCGTGATCATGTAAAACACTTATTACCGATAAACATGGCACTTTTTAATAAATATTGGCTACTGGAATCCATTATTGATTAAATGATGGCCACATGCTTTATCGATATTGCAAATTGTTTTGACAATAAATCATGCATTACAACCAGAAAAAAATGGAAAACTGTGGATGTAAAGGAAACAAGTTATTGTGGTTCTAAAACTTGGCTTGAAGGAAGCATAAGGGGTGGTCACATTATAAATCAGGGAACATGGATATCGTGGCCTGCTGAACCTGTGGTAGTTACGTCACTGGATCAACATATTGTGTATAATTCTATTAATGTAGGGCCTACTGTAAATAGACGTACTTGATACTGCGTGTATATATATAAAATGTACTGTAATATATACAGACCTCTGTATGCCTATAGGCCAAGAGGATACAACAAAATAGGCCGATTGGGGCGCTTTTTTTTTTTTTACGGGACCATCCAAAACACGACGAATAGCCACTTTAAGTAATGGGCTAGAAAAAAGTGCTTAGTGGAGCAAAAGAAAATAATTAATTTGCAACATTGTAGTTTTTTAGGAGCATGTGAATATAAATTAGAATAAAAACCAGCAAAATCACTTAAAAATTTTTCGAGGTAGCACGTACCCCCCTCAATTAGGCCTACCATTGAAACCCAACTTAATACCTTCGTCCTCCGCCATGCCTTGAATATAATATTATACAAGCATGGGGAATTATAGTTTACTAATACCCCGTAATGTAAGTAATAATATATGTCTAATGTAATTAATGCATTAAAATACAAATAATACATGTGGAAAAACGGTCAAAATTACTTTTTATTCATTTAAATAGCCTCTGTACTATAGATCCATTTCAATCTATATTAATTGCCAATAAATTCGATGTTTACAAAATGCGATAGTAAATCTTAATGAAAACTATGCCAAACGAAAATTAACCATACAGTAGAACAAACGTTATATTTCTTTTAACATCATCGTATAACAAAATAATAACAGACGAAAATTACCTTCAGATGGGCACAATACAAGTAGAGTCAATTAGGCCTAATCAGAATTAAAAATTAAAAATGGGAGGCCCAGAAAAGGATCAGTCAGAGCCGAGCATGGGTAATACTGTTATTTTAGGCATGTCTGTAAAAGATTTTAGAGAATGCAAGAAAAGCGAAAACAATTTGTACTGTCAATTGTTTTATGTGTCTGTTAAATTTTTGAGGGAACATTTTCTACTAATAATAATTCAATTGAAAGCTAATATAAAAAGTAGGCCTAAATCAAATACAGTATTGAATACAGCACTCCGAGACATGTTTATAGGACTCTATTATATAGAAGATGTACACTATACATTATTTATTACCGAATATGCCCCGCTTGAATAAATGCCCATCTAGAGCCTCATTTGGAATAAACGCCCAACCCCCACACCGTAAACAAGTCTAATGGAAGCAAGAACATTCTCAAGGGTACTACCCTGTAGAGTAATTACATTTTTTCTAACCTGATTTGCATCAATAAATCTTTATAATCATGCAATATCTACAGTAAAATTAAGGGGCGTGCGTTTGTATCCATTTACACCAAATAAAACAAAAGCCTCACTCGAATAAATGCACCTCAAGCACCCTTCTCAACAATGGGGCCTTTAATTGAATAAATACGGTAATAGGGCCTATACAAAAATGAAAAATACTGTATATAACCATTAGCCATTAATGCATAAAATTGAACAAATTAAATATTAATTCTCAATATTGTTCTACCAAGAGCAGGTCCCTCAAGACATCCCTTTTCATTTATAATGCCTTCCTCAATTCTGTAAAATTCTCTTCTATCCCACTGATCTATTCTTGTCTTATTTCATTTATCATGGCTATGAAAGGACATGTGACATGACCATAGTGGTGTGTCTAGGAGTTGTGCGGTGGGGGCATAGTCCCCAAAAAAATCTTGCACCCTCCATTGAAAATTTTCAAAGTCAAAAAATTACGTTCCAGTAGTTAACAAATCTCCTCATACTGTATTACCATTTTTTTTGTGAGTTAGCTCCCCCTTAATTATTCATGAAGCCTCACCTCCCAACTGCACACCCCACCCCCATTTCAAGACTGTTGAATATACAGTACCACTACATTACCAACCATTTCTTCCTTTGATGGTGCCAGCTACCTTTAGATTTTAAATCATATAATACAAACAATGCAATGCTATTCATGCACTAAGAAAAACAATATGTAGTTCCTCAGTTTGTGGCTCTTCGTTCACTTGCTTAAACCATCATTACTGTGTACAGATTTCTTGTGTGTTGATAACTCCTTCTGTTTTGAGAAGGTACTTGAGCAAATGTCACATCTGTATGACTTCCTATTGGCATGTGATTTTTCATGATAGCGAAGATGCCATCTATTAGTAAATTTGCGACTACACAATCTACATGATAATGGCTGGGATCCCTCATGATTCGACTCATGACGACGAAGATCATTCTTCCGCCCAAAATTCTTGCCGCAGAACTTGCAGGTATTTGGCGACTTACCAGAATGGATATAGTTATGTGCCTTCAGGTTGAACTTTGTGACAAACATCTTACCACACACATCGCACATGTGGCTCTTGCTTCCGGTATGTTTTTGCATATGTGTTGTCAGTGGAGTTTGATGATTAAAGCCTTTGCCACACACTTTACATGATAGAATGTAGTTTCCAACATGGGCTGCTTCATGCCTTTCAAGAGATTCCTGCAAACTGAATCTCCTGCAACATGTCTTACATGTAAGAGGCCTGAGGGGATCAAACTTCAAATGGCGATCTAGTAACCTCTTTGATAAGTAATCTTTTTTACATTTTTTACATTCAAAGGCAATCTGTTGTTTCTTATTTACCTTTTTCTTAAATTGTTTAACAGCTTTCTTTTCTTTGTGCTTTTTCAATTGCACACAGGTTTGTGTTAAGGGTACTGACATAGGTACTTGGGAATCCTTTAGTGTATCATCATCATCATTGGTGCTTATATTGCTACTGTTATGCTGTGGCTGATATGCAGCTGTCCGTTTACTTCGACGTAGGTGTACCTGTATACTATTTCTTAACTTTATTTTATCTAACTTTGGTTTGTCAGCATTCCTTTCATCTTCATTATCAATTAAATTTTCTTCCACATTTGACATATCCACATTGTTTGCTATTCTGCTATCTGAAGCATTACTATCTTCATTCTCAGAAACATTATCTGTCATCTGTTTCCTGCTTGGATAAGTCATATTAGTTGAATCAGCCACACTGTCTTCACAACTCAATGCATCACATTTAGCTGCTTCAGTTAAAGAATTATCTTTAGGTTTGTTAGCCTTTTGCAAATTATCAAATTTACTTCTGTACCGTAATGGAATGTTCCTTGCTCTTACTGGTCGGCTGTTTGTTTTAGCACTTTTAATTAATTCATTTTCTTCTAATTCATTACTCTTGCTTACGATACCATTTAACTCAGATGAAGACAAGTTTATTGACTGTCCTTCTGATTGATTTTCTTTAGTTTCTTGGATGACTGATGATTTCTGCTTTTTAAGACAGGCGCCTTTTCTTTCATGCAGTTGCATATGACGTTTCAGATGTGTTACGCGACGAAAGTCCATTCCACACTGTACACAAACATGCAAGTGTGTTGGCTTGTGTTTCTCCATAGATCCTGATTTCCCTTGATGCTGTTGTTCATGTCGCTCAAAGCTAGTTTTATATGAGAATTCCTTTTCACAATAACTACAAACAAAAAGCAATTTTATATCCCACATTTTAACAGGTGGATCTCCAGATTTCACAAAAACATTTGAGAATGAACGGCGCCTATGATAAATCATATGTTGGTGGTGTTTTTCTTTACTTAGGAATTCTTTGTTGCATACCTTGCAAACCAGATCGTCTGAACCATTTTCACCATTAGACTCAATCTCTTCCGTATCGCCATCTTCTTCAATTGGTTTTTCAATCTGACTGGTCGGCATTTGGGAATTACATTTCAGTTTGTGATCATGGCATTTAGCCTCATTACTGTATGTTCTGTTGCACCCAAGACAGGTAAAAAGTTCCATCTTACCTCCAGCATCCAGATAGTCACACTCCTGACGACTGAGAAACTCAGTGTCAGTATCAAAATGAAATGCAGCATGGGTAACTATATGTTTTAATAGCCTGGCTCTGTATTTGTAAGCACGGTTACAATACTTACAAATATTTTTTTGGCCCATGTCATCTGCTGGTTTATTTACATTACTTTCTGCATTGGCGTCATTCAAAGCTTCATCATCTTTACTGCTGATATTATCCTCAACGTTTGTAGAAGGGTCTTTCACACTGTCAGTAGAAGAGTTATTGATTTCATCTTCAGTCTGACTTGTATTTGGCTGGGAATCTTTCTCAGCATCAATGTCTGTTGCTATGCTAGATTCCTTTGCAAGCTGCAACAGATACTCAAGTGCACTGTCTAATCCAGGTTCAATCAAATCAATTCGAGTCTCTTGTTCGTTGTCCTTTAAATGGATTTTTTCATGCTTAGAAAGACATTCCTTTTCAGAAAACCTCCGTCTACAATGCTTACACTTAAACACTTGTGGTGCATGCAAGATTTTGTGGTTATCAAGATGTGATTTCTGTACAAATTGTTTTCCACAGTGGCAGTGGTAAGGTCTTTCACCTGTATGGCTCCGTTCATGGTGCTTTAAAAGCCATCTAGTCACAAAAGATTTTGTACAATAACTGCATGGGAAAGGTTTATTACCATTATGTAAGAAAAGGTGCCTTTTCAAATCATTTTTTCTAGAGAATGTCTTATGACATAGCTCACAGGCAAACCTTGTGGGCTTCTGGTTCTCTTTCTTGCACCTGTGAGCAAGAAGCTCAGAACCATTAGCAAACATTCGACTGCAGTTTTCACATTTGACAGAATTTTCAGAATGTGAAAATTTATGACGATCTAAATGGGACTTTTGAGTGTATTTGTTTCCACATTCTTGACATTGAAAACATTTTCCAATAGAGTGCACTTGCTCATGCTGTGAGAGATGCCATTTGGTTGCAAATTTCTTATCACAAGAGTTGCACTGAAATGGTTTTGTCGCAGTATGCATTGAAGCAATATGTCTTTTCAGATCACCCTTTCTACCATAACCCTTACCACACTGCTCACACATGAAGTTCTTAGTATGACATGAATGGTTTTCACATGACCACTTCTGCTTAAACACCTTTCCACATTTCTCACAAGCAAATTGCTCTCCTTTTACTTCTGGCTTCAAGTGGATAGTTGCATGTGTTTTGAGGTTATTTTCATCAGAACAAATTTTCCCACAAACTTTGCATAAAAAATCTTCTAGTACAACATTTTTCAAACATTTGTGCTCATGGAACTTCTTTCTTTCTTTAAAAACATTACCGCAATTAGCACATGTAAAATTGCCTTCATCAACATGATTAGATGTGCAGATTTCTTGCTCTTCGAATACATTAAAGTACTGCTGTTCTCCAATTTCTCCACCTTGTGGAACTATCATAATGACAGTATGCTGCAGGTTTTCTTCAACAGCAGCTATGATGCTATCTGTTCCAGCTTCAATTGTGATGACTTGCTGCTCTGTACAGTCCTCACTTGTTAAACCAGCTTCCTTAAGCGCAGCTTCAATGGTGTCATTAGGAACTTCAGAAGCACCTTCATTTATCCTATCAGCATCATAGGCAGATTTCTTCATGTTTGTTTCTTCCATAGTACTCAACATCTGCCCTTCCTAGCAACTGTATGAAACAAAAATTATTATTTAGTTGTTTGTTAACCTCATTTGCAGACTTACACAGTGGCGGATCTAGGATTTAGCAATGGGGGTTGGATAATGCGATTTGCGAAGCACCAAGAGAGGCGGGGGGTGTGGTTTTGGCAATGGCGCAGATCTGCTGCTAAAGTTCAAGCCCACCATGGATGGGCCTGAGGTTTGAAAATTAAAAAGAAAAGAATATAAATAAATAGTTAGCTCTAGATGATTGGAATTATACTTTTATATTGTAAAATTCATGGTCATCACATCACCATTATATAGGCCTAGTCAAAATGATGTTTTACCAGCGATTTTCGGCAACCATAGATAATATGTGATGTACAGTACTTTAGAAAATAAAACTTTAAAACATTGTGTTTGATGTATTTACTTTTGGCCTTCCTACAGTACTTCAAAGCCTAGTCCCCACCTAAGGGCTGATACTGTAGATGGGAACATTTGGGGAAATGCTGGAAATGACATTCTTATGGATCTAGGCCAGATGGTCGAAATCCAGTTTGCTGAATGCCAGATTGCTGAGACCACTTTGCCGAATCCCAGTTTGCCGACTCAAAAACAATGAATCCCAGTTTGCCGAAAGTCGGTTAAAAGCAGTGAAATATTAAGAGTAGCATAAAATTTAATAGTAATAGGTCCATGTTCATATCACGACTGCATCTGTACGAAGTGGTGGCACTATACTACTATACTCAAACATGGCTTGGGTCAGCCCTGTGTGACGTGGTACACTGATTATGAACACAAGAGTGCACAAACCCAAAAAGAGCGTATGCAAAATAATATCACACTCACACCCACACCAACACATACAAAAGATGATTCACTCTTAAAACCTAAATCTTTGTTTAATCCATTAACATTAGATTTAAGACAAAGGAACCAACATGATCTCAGCGTATCTTCTAGCCTTAGTACAGTAGATTTAAAATTGGTGCCTAAGATTATAAAGCCTAAATCACTGACAGTATGCAATACAGGGAAGCCCTTTTGATGGTCATTAACTATTTTTTTGTGGTTGTTAATTCTGAGTTTACATTCGGTTTCGCCTACATAAATGCCATTATTACATAGTTAAATATAGTAAATTGGTGACTAAGATTAAAAAGCCTACATCACTGATAGATATGGCGCGGTAAATTAAAGTGGTGAGCAACAGGAAGAACTTTTGTTTGTCTTTAATTAATTTGTTGTGGTTGTTAACATTCGGTTTTGCCTACATAATTTCCGTTATTACATTTAGCTCAAAATAGTAGTGTGTTGCGCTTTCGTACGACAAAATTCGGCAAATTGGGTTCGGCAAACCGGGCTTCGGCCAACTGGGACTTTGTGTTTTCTCTGAACTGCATTCGGCAAACTGGGCTTTGGCTAAATGCCTAACTTGGCAAACCGGGTTTCGGCAGACTGGATTTCGACCAACCGGTCGGATACCATTATGATAGGGTAAAATTCATTATTATCTAATTAATCGCTGTTATGCTCCATTGAAAATTAAACTCAACTGTCTTTGATGTATTTTTAATTTACTTACAGTATACCTACTTCATGTGCCAAATCTAATCTATATTACTATTATGTATTGTTATTATTTTTATTATTATTATTATTATTATTATATTATTATATTATTATTTTATTATTATCATTATTATTAATATTATTACACGATTTTTCTCATACTTCTCAAATTATAATAAAGACACGTGCAAGCTCAAAATAGAAATTGTAGGTTTTATGAGAATATACATGAGAAGCACACACACAAGTCAAGTGACAATTTTTTTTACAGTCACCGAAGAGGGGTGGCTAGCCGCCATATTCACTCCCTCTAGATCCGCCACTGTCACAGTAGCCTTCAGTAATTGCAAAATGAATTTGTGTAAGTTGTACCTTCAATAATTTTTGGGTAAATTGCATTTTCCGTTCTGTTTAATGCCTGTACACTATTGTAGGGTGCTTAAAAAAAAAAAACCGAAGAAGTTATATACTTCTTTGCTTTTAACTATAATTAATTTTAATAGTCTTCAGTAAAAAGCTAAAATACAGTACATGTACTACTAGTATAGTAAACTATGCATAGGTAGGCACCACACGATGAGTGACATCACACACTTTAATTAGTGTCATTAACCCAGTTCAGCCTAGCGTGTTTAGTCAACAAAGACCTTAAGAAAATATTCTGGTTAGTCAGGTCACTCAGGGGTCGAAGTAGTATACCATTTTGATTTTTTTTCGAAATCGGTCAACATTTATCAAAGTTATTGATCAGCTTTTGCAAATTTCATAAAATTTGTTGTTTCTTCCAGAGAATTGTGTGTAATATTTTTCAATTTGTTATAATTATAGGTTAGTTTATATATCTAAGAGTTTATTTGTCAAATATGAATGTAATACGAGGCGTAGCAATATTTTTTTTTTGGCATAGCAAAATCGAAGATCAGCTATGGATCGGCCGTCGTGTACACATTGTCGTGAGATAAACTATAACGATCTTAACAAAAGTGCTGCATATAAACAGCAATATTTTTGATGTAAATAAAATAAATATGTGTTTAAAAAGTTAACTATGATACTTAAAGATTAATTTTGATAATAATTTTGTCTTATATCTATATGTATAGTTTTTATTATATTATAGAAGTGAAACTTTATACACCAAAGGCTGTCAGATGTTGCGCCAACATTTTTTCAGACAATGCAATTACACTGAGAATGCGACAAGGCTGGCAAGCAGAACATTTCTTTTTTTATGACTTATTTTTTTATTTCTTTAAATTTATTTATTTTCATTTTTTTTTTTCCGAATTTCAATTTTGGAATTGTGGGTCAAAGGTCATTTGGAAAATTGATAAATTTTCGGATCATTGTGTATTAAAGCTACATGACTATGTAATTTGCAGTAAAATAAAAATTTACAATCATGTAAAATGTACACTATGTTTTAGCATTTACAAAATATAATAAAATATATGTCAAAAAGTGACAGAAATACTATATAGAAAACATGAAACTTGCTACACACACACACACTAAAAAACTTCAAATAAAACCGTAACCAGTGGCTCAACTCAACTCAATTTTCCTCAAATAAATTTTTTTATGATACTGAGAATCCTGAGAATGAGTAGGCTAGTTTTCTGTGCTATGTTTTGGTTTTTTTTTTTATATATTCAACTTTGTATTTATCATGTGGTGCCTAGGGCTTATTAGGCTGACTAGATTGAGGAAGCAGTAATTAAATTAGCCAGCCAACATTAAAAGTAGGCCCACGGCACGGTAGACTACAGACAGTAGGCGTAGACCCCTTCATTAGCCTCTCTCTACTACTACTACTACTACTACTACTAGGTCTAGCCCTAGCCTACTGCTAGGCCTAGCCTAGGGCCTAGACTAGGGCAGCCCAGCCCCAGGGTATAAAGTTAAGAACAAGACATCACTAACTCAGACTGGTATACAGTACCTGTGTTGGTTTCAAAAATACTCTGTCCTGAAGAAATTCATTATAGGCCTAAAAGCTTGAAGTAGCATAGATACAGTTGAATATGGTTGAATTAAAGCCTAGGCTCCTAGGCCTATCAAGCCATTATTGTTTATTATTCATTATTATTAGCTAGCCTTTGGTGTCGTGGCGTCGAACGACAGAATGAGACACACGTCGCGTCGAGATGTAGAGGAGAGCAATCAGCAACAGCAACGGGTATTCAGGAAAAAATCCCTCTCCTCCCCTAGCTCTTTAGAGCATGAGCGTGAATCAGATCCGATCTAGCGATCTAGGCTTAGGCCTATATCGTTCTTTAGCTGAGTTGGAAACTTGATTTGTTTTTATCGAAAATATAAACAGTTTTTTGTAATTTAGGTAATATAAATGAAACATATATGTTTTTTTATATTTTAGATAAATAAAAATAAATAACGAAAAAATTGATAAGGCGTCATAATTATTAAAGTTATCTTTTGTTCTTACTACAATATTGCGAAAATGCCTATGCGTTAAATTGGATACCCGTCAGTCTTATTTCTTGTTTGTGGCGGGTTTCCTCTGAATTTGCGCCCAATTTGCCAATATGAAAATACAGAAAATTGTGTAAAATAAGTATAATTGTTACTGGTAAGTTATATGTTATTTTGCTTAGATCTTATGTGTATTCAAAACAGTAATATTAATCGGATATTGTATGGGAATAAACCAAGATATATGGGAAGAAATGTTGAAGCTTTGGCAATGCTGATCGACAACACTCAGCACTGACACAGGCGGCGAGCTCGATTGGATATCCTTCTCCTTGTCTAGGTTGGGGCCTAGGCCTAGGTAGGCTAGACATTGCTAGCCTAGGCTATTATTTTGTCCTGCCTAAAACTAGGAAAAATGTGCCTTGATAGTATAGGAGAATCTAAATTTGTCATTGAATACGTACTATGATATTGAAAGAACTGTTGATAATACTGACTGTCACTATAATAATGTAGGCCTATGCCTGTCCTGATGATGATAGAGTAGGCCTAGCCTACTATGACTAATACCTAAGGCCCCTAGTCTAGAGGCTAGCTAGATAGCATTTGGCCTACTGTTGAGTCAGGTTCTTTTACTCATCAATAATGAGTGAAGCCCTCACTCACTACTGTTTTTCCCTTGGCCATGCCTTTACTTTAATATCTGGTAAGCATCAGTGGTGGCGCCAGGACCTGCCCCCCCCCCCCGACGGAGGGGCTAAAGACCCCAACGGGGGGGGGGGGGGGAGATAGTGGAGCGAATCGAGTCTCACTTGGGTGGGGCCAGGGGGCCGCGGGCGGGCCAAGGGCCGCCTAGCGCCCCCTGGAAGCCAGGGATATTTTATGAATTATAGCGAATTTTTATTACTTATTTGATAGGCATCGAGTTACTATAACAACTCCCTGCTATAATACGACTTCATGTAGGCTGTGCTTTCTAATGTTGAAATCAGCTTCCAAAACCAAAACATTTTGAATAAAGCAAGAAACAAAAAGTATGCAATGTAACCATCTAATTTATTTCAAATCCTCATTCTTGGAAGTGAAATTCTATACTGTATTTTGGAAATTTTTCATGAAATCTGTCAACCACGCTGTCATGGTCGAGGTTGCTTCACCTATCACGATGTATTCCAACCATCATGAGGCTATCTAAATGAGCATTTATCATAACAGAATGCAAATTATTTTTAATTAGTCTCATTGAATTATTATTATTATTGTAATTTTTGTTGTTGTGATGAAAAGTTAACACAAACAATATGGTGGCTAAACAAATATTACCTGTAAATATTTTTTTTTTATTTGTTTGTTCCCCGACAAAAAACTATCGTCTTCCCCAACTATGCTTCCCTGGGCTATGCTTCTCTGGCGCCACCACTGGTAAGCATTAAATTTGAGTTGCATATTTTAGAATTTGGAGTTAACATATAATTACTATACTAGTGTAATTTTAAAGTTTAGAGTTTTAATGGTATGAGTATCAATAAGGTGGATGTGCAAACAGATTTAGGTGTCTTAATTGATTCTAAACATAATTTTAATGAATTTTTTGAATGATGTGGATGTCTGTGTATAAATTCTGGTTTCAAATGATTTTAGGCCTGTGTTCTTTATTTATTCTTAAAATTAATCGACTAAATTCTCACTCTAGGGATTTATTTGTGTTTCTGTTTAACAGAATTTAATTGCAAAAAAATTGTTTCATCGTTTACAGTAGCTCTTATATATGTTACACGAAAATTCTACTAATTGATTTATTTCACCAAAGCTTAAGTTCATTTAAAACCAGTTTATTTCATTTGCACACATCTACTTTCCTGATATGCTGAAAATTAGTTTTATTTTGTTTTGATTTTTTATTGTCAAAAAACAGTAATTTGGGGGTTTTTGCCTCAAACAGGCAAACTTTGATTATACAGTATATTACTTGCTTATAAGAAAATTACACCAATTTTTGTATATGTGGTAGCTAACACCTGGAGCCACAATTTACATCAATTGAAATTTCATGGTGATGTGATCCACAAGGTCAAATAGAAGGTCAAAAGGTCATCGACATTAGATATAGTCACTTATACAAAATAATGACAGATTTAGATTCCTTAGTTAATTCTCTTTTCAGAAATACCAATTTTATATACAGTACCTGTATTGGTCAACCCACTGCTGAGATATTAAGGTTTAATTGTTGGCGGCCACACCAATTTTGCCAAATTTGGGCAGGTAGTAACTTACAAAATATCAATCCACTAAAAATTGAGATTTGGATGTTTGATGCAAAATCCAACATGTATACCGATTTTCATCAAAAAAAACTTTTTATTTTTTTGGGTGATTTGACATGAAATGGCCCAAATGCTGGTGGGACCAATAGAATATTTTGCGAGACATTTGGCAGGTCATGTCTTTTCAAACACATACAAGAAGATAGTGCTATAATCATAAAATAATGTATTGTTTTTGATTTCATTTTGCAGTGATCAACTACAAAATTATGGAAGAGGAAATTCATGTTGTGGATAGTGGAACTATTCCAGCTGCTGATTCTGGTTCTATGGTTGTAGTGACTGATGAACATGGAAAACATCAGATATTACACTTTACAAACAATGAACAAAACAGTGCTGAAATGCTGTTAGAAGACCTACCAGCACAGTTACAAGAAGAGTCAATGACTGTTATGCAACAAGAGACAATTGATGATATTGATTACTGTGCACATCAGCGGGCTGCCGAAGTTCTGCAGAGTATGGGAGTGGGTGTAGCAGGGCAAATTGAGGAAGAGAATGCAGCCTCTAATCAAGCTGTTGTCTACGTAGAAGGTGGTGATCATGATAATGAAAGACAAATCACTAGTGATGCTATTGCTGCTGCTCTTCAGCAAGCTGGTGCCACAGGTAGTGGTGATGAGCAGTCACAGGTTATTGTTCTGGAGGGTGGATCTGATGGAATGGTTGACATGGCTGATGTTGGAGATGACTTTCAAGGAACTCTTATTGTTATCATGCAGCAGGATGAACAACAGGGTGAAGTGATGGATGCAGCAGACAATCTACAAGTCCATGAGGCCTCTGCATTTATGGATCCAAAAGAAAAGCAATTGGCAGAGCAGAATGTTGCTTCTTTCCATTCCACAGAAGTTTTCCATGAGCTAGATGAAAACTTTAAGGAGAACATTGAATGCAAAGATGTATCCCACGAACCAGTTTTAGAAAAACCACACCATTGCAAGCATTGTGATAAAAAGTTTGCTTGGAAACGCTCATTGATAGTTCATGAGCGGATCCATACTGGAAAAGATATGTTCTCATGTGATCAATGCGGAAAAAGCTATTCAAGTAAAGTTAGTCTCCAATCACATATTGCTACTCATACCAAACAAGAAGATAAGCCATTTAGCTGTGATATTTGTGGGAAGTATTTCACCAAGAAATGGGACTGGGAGACGCACAAGTGGCAGCACACTGGGCAGAAAAAATATATTTGTGAACACTGCGGTAAGACATATGCAAGAAATAGTGATCTCCGAAGGCATGTGCTGTCTCATACTGGAAATAAACCATTTCAATGCAGATTTTGTGGCAAGCGTTTTATCACCCGGTGGCATTACAATTACCATGAACGCCGCCACACTGGTGTGAAACCTTATCAATGTCAGTTGTGTTGGAAAGAATTCATGCAGAAATGTCATCTAGATCGGCATGAAATTACACATGCTTCTGAGACATACAACTGTCGATATTGTGGTCGAAAATACATGCACAAAGATGAATTAACACGCCACGAACGCACCCATTTAAAACGTTCAAAAGAAACGGATGTTAGCCCATCTGATTCTACTATTGTTGCAAATGTTGGGTCTGCCAATGATGATGTAAGTGGAAATGTTGACGCTGCCTTAGAATATCTAATGGCATTTGCTCAGGGGCAAGTTGGAGAGAATGGGAACACAGAAATTCAGGAATCACCAGATCAGAAGACTAAAGAACAACTGAAGTGTTTTGGATGCAAACAATACTTTGCAGATCATGAAGAACTTCAAAATCACAAAAAAGATCAACCTGACTGTTGTGTGGCTGTTACTTCATCTGCATGTTCTATACACTGTAAATATTGTACGAGGGTTTTTAAGTATAAGACAAGCTTCATTAAACATGTGACCTCTCATGCTGCTTTCCATTTTGATGATGAGTATGATGACTTGAAACTGGAGATTGACGAACGATCAAAACAAATTCTGTCAATGCAGAGTTCAATTTTTGTTTGCGTCCATTGTTGTCGTGCATATAGTGCAGAAGAAAAACTGTCAGAACACAAAGAAGTATGCGCTGGAAAGCTAGATAAGAACGAAGATCAAAAAGAGAATATAGTGAATGATCAGTCTGCCAGTGATACTTTAAAAATACCACAATCAGCTGAAAAAACAGATGCTGATTATACTAATGATGCAGCAGCAGATAATGATGTCTTGAACAGTAAACTAGATGCTGGGGAATTGATTGGTCTTTCTGATACAAATGGAGAATCACAAAACACTGATAACCTTGATTACAATAACACCACTAACAAGAGCCAGCAAGGTCAAGTAAAGACAATTCTTGCTTATGATGAAGGAAGGAAAGTTCAAATTCCTATTTCTAATTTGATCTATGTTTGTAGATTTTGCGATTGTGAGTTCAAGTACAAAACAAGTTTTGAACGACATGAGGAACATCATGAAGAAAATAACACAAATATTGAAAATCAAACTAAAAGTAAGCGTCCTTTTATATGTACACTCTGTGGAGTTGGCTTTCGAAGGCCATTTCATTTGATGCGCCATATGGAAACACATTCAAAGAAAACTACATACAAACCGGCAAAAAAACTTAAGACTGTACAGTCTCCTAAAATTAATGCTGGCAAAGATATGAAAACGTGTGAAGAAATACTAGAAATAAGAGATCTTGTTCGAAATGAAAATACATTGAGTCTCTCTGATGAACTTGATGATGATTTAGCAAAGATTAAAAATGAAAGTTTAAATGAAAATACACAGACAGAGAAAGAACCTGAGAATTTAAATGTGACGAGTAAAAAAACTGGCAAGTTTAATCAAAATCCAAAACAAATGTCTACATTGGATATTTCACTCAAAAAATCAAGTCCAAATAAAAACAAAATGGTGTATGAATTACCAACAACAACTACTACTAGAAGTCGAAGGTCGATACGTTTACCAAAAAGATTTCGAACAAGTGATGATGAATCTACTCTTGATGAGGAGGAAGAGGAAGTAATTAAAGTTGAGGAAAAAAGTGAAAAAGCAAAGCAATCAATTACTGTAGCATCACCGAAAAAGCGAGGTAGGCCTAAAAAGTTACATAAAGAGAGCTATGAATGCGGAAAATGCAAGAAAACATTTCCTTTTCAGTCTTTACTTAGATATCACAACAATGCAAAACATAAAAAACTGGAAATAGGTGACAAAAATAAAGATGTGGGTGACACTGCACTAAACAATCAAACAAACTCTCATGACTTCAACAATTCTTATTTTGATATGGAAACCTCACCAAATGATTTAGAAAATGAAAATGAAACCATTTGTAATGGAAGTCCAGTTGATGATAACAGTGCATTAATGATTAACTACAATGTAAAGACAAGGGCACAGTATAAAGAAAAATCCATCCATGATGACCAACCTGTAGATTGTGACGAAATTAAAGATTTGGTAATTAAAACCAAAGAAATCAGAGACGAAGTATCAACTGAAAGTAGAAATAAAGAAAAAGGGTCATCTGAAATTAAAACTAAAGGTATACGCACCCGCTCAAAAGCAAATGATTTCTTATGTGATCAATGTGGACGCAAATTTGCCTCACAGGTTCATGTTCTACGCCACCAGCAGTCTCACATTCAAAAAAATTGTAAACTAATAAATAAAAGTCCAAATAAAAAACAGTATAGTTGCGGTCAGTGCGACAAAGTATTGAAGACAAGGGCACTGCTAAAGCGCCATGAGCTTCTACACCAGGATAAAAAAGGCTTCAGATGCATAACATGTGACAAAACATTCCGCCGTTCAGACGACCTGACACGTCATAATAATTCAACGCATTCCGGAAAAAAGCCATACAGCTGCGAGATTTGTGGAAAAACATTTCCGTATAAATTCCCACTGAAGACACACATGCAGTCCCACACCGGTGCCCGACCTTATATGTGCGATGTTTGTGGAAAAATGTTTGCAAAGAAATATGACATGGAAGCACACCACAACATGCACACCGGCAACACTCCACACGTGTGTAACATTTGTAGCAAGAAGTATGGTCGCAAGGCTGACCTCGATAGGCATATGACGAAGCACACAGGGACACAACCTTTGAGTTGTAGCCTCTGTGATCGAAAGTTTTCAACACGTTGGCATTTAAAGTACCATGAGCGAACACATACAGGTGAAAAACCATACACTTGTGACATTTGCAATAGAAAGTTTGCCCAGTTGCCACACCTGAATAAGCATATGATGCTACATAATAAGAAAAAAGAAGCAAGCACGAACAATGCAACTTCCATTGAAAATGATAATGATAAAGAATTTGATGGCAACACCCTTCTGAAGTCTGTTGTACGTGGTCTGCAACAAGTAAATGAGAGTGCAGAAAGTTTAGGAGTACTACAGGACGACTCTCAACAAATTATTCAAGTACTGCAAGTGGAAAACAATAATCCTGATGAATTGCAAGTTTTCAATCTTATACTTCCCTAATTGAAACTTTTGAGTGGTACGGGCAGAGTTAAAATTTCTATTTAAAAATATGTACAGTAGTATGATTAATTACAACCTTAATAGTAAGATTTTCACTGGTCTGAGCTTGGTAATGAAGAACAAGCATTAGAAAGTGGGTCAACAATTACAAGTTGTGCTATTGCTCAAATTACACAGTGTTGAAACAATTGGGAGATTTCTATAATGGACCGATATTAAAAGGCTCAATCTGTAGTTAGAAAATTAATGCAAATTAGCTATTATTAATAGAAAACATTTACACGTAAAAAAGAACGTTTCTTTTTTTGGCATAACTTTTCTATTGATAATTTATTCTAAGCATACTGTACTGTTATTTGTAAATTACTGTATATTCTCGCGTATAAGGCGAGGCTTACAGTAAAATAGCAAATTATGATCGAAAAACTGGGGGTGGGGGAGGGTGGGTCATCTTATAAAATAATTTTCTTCTTAAGTGCGGGTTATTCGTAACACGCGAATTTTCTACTGAAATGAAGCTACTGTACTGACTGTTAGTATATTAATGAACGCAATTATAATTATAGGGAAATAAGATTAAAATGAATATATAAAGCCAATAAAATGGTATTATTTGGAAGATAAGCCCTACTTTTGGGTTCGTTTTTAGCCAGCTAGATGCAGTATCTAGACAGTAAAAAGCAGCAAAAAGATTGGAAAAAAAAAACAAACGTGATCATCATTACGTCTGACATACAAAAATCGTCCAAAAATCTCCTCAAACTCGAAGGTCGTCTTCTACGCGGATCGCCTTATAAACGCGAGAATATACGGTCCTATTATTACGTGAAATCTACCAGTCTTTGAATCTGCAAGGTTTATATTTCACTGAAATTGCTCAATTTACGATTTAAAAGGAGAGTTGGGCCCACCATATCAATTTGTTTGGGTTGTTTTGACCACATAACAAAACATTTTGAATACTGCACACGTGTAAGAAATGCAAATATGAACAGATTGAGTGCGCTAGCACAGTGTTTAGACGATTTCATTATCCGAAAACGATCAATCGTTAATAGTGAACACTATTAACAATACATTCTCAATCTATGCATAAAACTGTAGAAATTAGGTCCACTATCGAGTATATTCATTTATAGATGAATTTTAACTCATCTTTGATACATATATTTTCTTCAGTTCGGAAAATGGAACATGCCAATTCCCTGGGCCGAATTTCCACGGCGGCGTGTTTGAAATTAAGTGAACCAAACAAATTGATATGTTTTCATTTCAGTGTTTTCTCAGTAGCTAGGCAATAAGTTAATTACCTCCACTTGTTTGCAAGACTCACCAACATATGTAGCCTAATCATAATTAGGCTACTATGACTACCAAGCCTACTACCGAATGTCAAATAACAAATTATGCCTTTTTTTCTCCATTCTATTTTCAAATTTTTGTAAGTTTTTTTATTTTTTTATTTTTTTTTGCAGATAATTACTGTATTAAAAATATTAATTCTTCATCTCTCCTTTAAACCAGAAATACCCATTCAAGTGAATGATGGGGTTGATAACAAATCTTGAATAACATCACTTGCCTGCAATACAATAGGCGTAAGGTTCAATCACGGACCTATTAATAGGTCCATGGTTCAATGTACATGTAAAATGCATGTTTACACTGAGCTGAAAGGCATCAGAAAAGAGTTGCAGAAAACTTGAGATTAAAAATAATTTTCTGGCCAAATAGTGACTCCAGTGAGGGGCGGAAAGTAGGCCGATCGAGAAAATACCACCCTAGGGGGTCCGGGGGCATGCATCCACAAAATGTTTGTTTTCTAGACGCCCAAAAATAACCTCTGAGGCGTTTCAATCAATTTTTTCTTTTCCTTGTTTTGACTTTCCAAAAGGGGTGGCCGGCCGGCCCGCCCGCCCCCTCTAAATCCGCCCCTGGCAGTCATCCTCTGCCGAGCATACAAACTTCAGAAACCTCAAACATTACCTGCCTCTGTCATGTGTTGTGTATGGATTTTACTGTGTTTATAACTGTTGCACGCTCTGTGTAAATAGGCTTTAAAGGTTCTTAAAAAACGTACCCCAAAATATGTGTAGCAGTATTTTGGATAATGTTCTGTACATCATAATTCAGAAGCTGCCTACGTCACCAGTTTATATTTTGCAAATTTATATACTGTATATATACACCTGTATATTTATTGATTTTTAGAATAGTTAACTTTAAAAGAGAATTGAGTAACATGGTATAAAGCAGCAATTCTCAATCGGTTTGTTGCCAAATAAATTGCAGGGTCGCGAGACTATAGGATATTTTTTTTAATTGAAATTGATACCATGCTAAATTTTCTGCAGTAAAGAGGGTGCATTGTAATTATCATTTAAAAATTTTACTTCAGTTTGGTTTGCCAGTTAATTAACCTAGTTTGAGTATATTGTTTTGTTTTGTTTTTTTTGGTTTTTTTTCCATTTTAGGAAGTGTATCACAGCAAATTTCCTGCACATTTTTTGGGTCAGCCACAAAGTTTGAAAACTGCTGTTAAAAGCATACGAGAATTATATGTTCGAGATAAGTTTGCATATACCACCCACTTTCAACATTTGTGTCTATTGTATATAATTATTGCCAGCCATATCTCGGACACCCTAGTAAATCCTTGCCGAGCCACGTGGCTCATATGGGCTGGAGCTTATCCCCAGCTTCAATATGTCACCCCTAGATGGCCAGAAATGACTTTTCTGTCTGGTAAAATCTGGAAAACCCTTTTTAACACATTAAATCGCTTATATTAAAGATCAAATAACTTAAATATGCTCTGAAGTAATTAATTAAATATAACTTCAGTGTTTCAATACTGAGACAGCATATCTTTAAATACAATAGAGATAGAACAAGTAATTTTAAGATCATACAGTAGTATGTTATCCATTTGTCCACTGAATTTTCTGTATTTGATCAAACATATAAAACATTTTAAATTGTCAGTATTGCCTTGGAAGATTTTGTTTTAGTGATTAATTGCAACATAATACAATAAATGAATAATAAAATGAAAGTAGTGTATATTGTTTCTCATTTACAGAAATGTGTTCTTGCAATTCACAAAAACAGTGATCGAATATATGAATGTATTGTTAATAAGATTTGTTGGAAAACTAAGACGATTCGAAAATGATGTCAGCCAAAAGAAAGTATTTATTGTTTTTACCAGGATTATTTATAGAGTAATCATTTCCGACATGGAATAACCATGGGGGTTTAAATGTTTAAACGACAGCTATTTGTAGAGAGAAAAACAAGGCTGGATGTGGTTATAAACTTGTTTCCTGGCCCCGCCAACTAATGAAAAGTTTTGATTGGTCGGTTGTTTAGTTAAGTTTTAATTTCACTCCACTCCTGAATAGTACTGTACATCAGTTGGCCTGACGTTTTGATTCCGACAGAGGGTCTTTCAACAACACTGCATAACATGACGCTACCAAATAAGAGATTCAGGGACACGTGTGCCCCTCCCCCCGTTTTGCCACTTAATTCTAAAATTTTCAATGCAAATCAATTTTACAGCTCACTCACTTATTCTGAGAATGTTGTGCCCCCCGTTTGAAAAATGATCTGCCTCTGAGTTTCGAGAAAAAAACTTCCTTGAAACTTTAAGTACCGTACTATGGTACAGTATATGCATGCTATTCATTTTCATTCAGCTTGAATATGGGTACCAGCTCCAGTAATTAGTGTAGTGATATTCTGCAGTCCCTAGCAATAGATGGTCGTCCAAAAGCCATAACCAAAAAAAAAAAAAAAAAAAAAAAGTGCAAAAAGGGAAGAGAGAATTGGCGCAACTATGAGAGAAAGATAAAGCAAGAGAAGTGGTAATACTGTATGGGGTAAAAATGCTGAGGCTTTTACCCAGCAATAGGATTGTCATCGTCAATAAGAGTTGGACCTATAGGTTTCATTACAATACTACGGTCTATTGCACATAATTTGAAAAACCAACACAATACATGTATTTATAATCGATAAATTTACAAATTTTATTGTCCAAGTTTATATATATATAATGTAAAATTACAATTAAACATTGCATTATAATTTACTATACAATTCTTTTTTTTTCGAGCATGAAAATGCTACCTTATCAAACCGTCCTAACAATCAAGGAGCTAGTCCACAACTCGAGCGCTTTGAGACTTCTGTATAAAGCGTTATATAAATCTAACTACATTATATTTTTTATAAAGCGCTAGTGCCAAATAATAATTTCCTGACGGGGCTATACAAATTCTTTAATTATAAACCCAAGGCCATTTTACATACTGTATTTATGTTGCTACACGTTTCGAATTAATCGCAGTAAATCTTCATCAGACATGGAAGCTGGTGCTATGGAAGATTAAATTGGGCCTTGTGAACTTAATCAGACAAAATATTGGCACAAAGTGGAGTGGCCAATGAGGTCCTGTCAGCCTGTGCTAATAAATCCCCAGAAATTTGTTCAGATTATTACGAAATATTGTAACATTTCGTATTCCATTTTGTATATTTTATTACAAAAATACAAGCTGGCAGTGGCAAAACCGCCAGGGGCCCGTGTTCTTCTCCACCCCGAGTACCATACCACTGACTGCTGATATAATTATTTTTCGAATGTCACACTCACAAATTTTTGAAGTATTCTTATTAATCTTAGCCATAAAATACAAAATTCATGTTCTAAGACGGATGGCCATTAGATTGTAAGTGCTCCAAAATTTTTTTTTCGTAGGCATCATTTGTCACAAGCTGGCAACAAGGTGAATAATCATCACCTGATCTTGGCATGTGATTTACTATATATCGAATACCTCACCCCCCACTCGTCGGGTGGGGGGTGGGGTTATGTCCCCGGCGAGAGCAAAGTGGGCTTGGTACGGCGTAGCCATAAGAGTTCTGAAGGTAACCCAGGGGCGCAGTTTAGGGGTTTCAAAGGCTTATTTAATCGATTTTAGAGACGAATTGTGGTTTTTCTCCCCGACGGGGGCTGTGCACTTGATGTAGAATTCCTGCTTAGCTTTTCATGCAAACAAGCCTAGAAAATGATAATGTTTGTCATTTTGAGATCATCATTTTACTGTATCTTTTTTATACAAGGGTACATATCGCTACACTCTCAACCTCCTTTCCCCCTAAAGTGTATGTCTTGTATGATGAAATGATGACAAATATTTTGTACCATAAAATATATGGATGGACCCTTAACAGATAAAAAAACAAAAAAAAAACACATATTAAACGTTAGTTTTCTTAGTTTCATCAATTTTCTATGTGCAAGTTTTTGGTCCTTGAGCTGTTACAGAGGCTGTGAATGTATGCTACTGCAAATGCACAAAATGTGGTAGGTTTGCTTATTCAAATGCTAATAAGAGGATTAAAACCTTAGTAATAATGTGTCATTAATAAGAAATCCATTAATTCAAGGGTCACACATACTGGTTAGGGTTTGCTTGCTTTACAACATATATAATTAATTTGAGCATGACATGTTAGTTTACTATTTACATAAACACCAAGAAATTTAAATTTATCAACTTTAGGTATAACTTCTGACTCAATAGAGTAGTCCCAAAATTCTAAATGCTTTATACATCTTGTCACATGCATCACTGCATATTTAGATGGATTTAAAGGTAGTTTATTAGCAATTGACCATTGAATAATTGTGTCTAAATCTTTTTGAAGAGCTATACAATCATTGATATTATAAATAGGGCGTGATAAGGTGTGATCATCCGCGAATTGAAAAATTGAAGACTAAATACTATTTACAATGTCGCTTACGTAAATTAAAAATAATAGTGGGCCCAATACTGACCCTTGAGGCACACCTGATGTAACATTTACCCACTCAGATTTTTCTCCCCTGTATATAACTCTTTGGCGTCTATTTGAAAGAAATTCACTAATCCATGCATTGATATTTCCATCAATACCAATTTTATAAAGTTTCTTAAGTAATCTTTTGTGAGGAACTTTATCAAATGCAGAAGAAAAATCAAGGAAAATTACATTGATATTTTTACAATTTTTTAGCCTCTAAACTCTCAGCCCATGAATGAAAAACTTTCGATAGCAACAGTTCAGTGCTATACATTTGTCGAAATCCAAATTGATTTTCAGAAAGTATATTATTGTATTCTAAGTACTCACTCACACGGTAACAAAGTAATTTCTCTATCATTTTACAAATAACTGGGGTTAAAGAGACTGGCCGATAACTTTTCAATTCACATATAGGCTTTCCATTTCTCTTGTAGATAGGCACAATATTTGCATCTTTCCATTGTTTTGGCAAAATACCTTTTTGTAATGAAAAATTGAAAAAATTACATAACACATTTGCTAATTGTTCCTTACATGCTTTAAGAAATATAGGAAGTAAACAATCTGGTCCAGGGGATTTTGATGTGTTTAGTTGGGACAGAGCATAGAAAACTTCAGGTACTACAAAAGGTTCAAATACCATGCTGTTTGGATAATGTAATGTATTAGAATCCAAATCATTATGCTCTTCATTATCAAAGCTAAAGTTGTCAATAAACTGTTTATTAAATAAATTTGCCAGCTCTTTAGCATTTGTCACCATTGTGTTATTCACATTAAAGCTTATACTATCTGAATCCTGTCTAATGGCTCGTATGTAAGCCCAAAATTGTTTTACATCCGTCGAGGCCTTATTAGAAATATTTACAACATAGTCACGATGACTGCAATATATTACCTTCTTCAATTCTTTGCTACATAACCTAAATTTAATTTTGTCCTCTTCAGATCCAGAAATTTAAAACTTTTTATATAATTTTCTTTTCTTTGTACAAAGGCTTTTTTATTTCTGGAGTTATCCATGGAAAAGAATGTGATTTTTTCCGTTTTTTAATAGGTACTGATTCTGAAATCGCAGTATCGATATTACCAAAAATATTTTCCCAAACCCTATTAACATCATTATATTGAAAACAATTATCCCAATTAAAGTTATTTAAAATATTTTTCATTTTTGCAAAAGCAGCTTTCTTAAGAGCATATACAGTTTTAGTTATGTCTTTAGTACGTTTATATGATATTTTTAGAGAAATTTCAATTGCTTCATGATCACATGAAACAAAATTATTAATTATGTGGCATTTATCAATTAAGAGAGGATTCGAAATAAATACTAGATCTAAAAAGTGTTCTTTCATATTACGAGTAATATATGATGGCTGATTTAAAGCTTGAACAAATCCTCTTGACATTATTGCATCAACAAAACCACTTGCTTGGCTAGAAAGATTACTACCTACACCTATATTATTCCAATCAATTTTTCAATCTTTATAATTAAACAAATATAACAAATTGAACATATTTAATTGGAATCACAATAATATTAGGCCTATACTTTGCTATAATACAAATGCTGGTAGGAAGTAGGCCTAGGTTATAAAAAAAATTAATAACAGTATTCCATGATACCATTTCTAACAATAAGTATTGCCTTTAAAAGTACATCTTCTAGAACTAATAGGTCTGCTCTTCCATTTAAGAGCACTATAGCTATTAATTTTTTTCCCAGATTTTTAGATTCTGAAATCTTTTTACCAGATGCTTCGTCCCATGCGTCTCCACCGAACTTTGCTGCTACAAAATACCAAACATTTCAAAAAATACCAAGTCCCAAATCGATCTTTGATCCAATGGGCGGTACCATGGTGGGATGAAGGCAGGTTTGGCCTCTTATCTAAATGGTTTGAGATTTTCAGATGCTTGAGAGCTGCTCACTGTCAGGCCACCACCGATACCAACCTTAATCGGACAGGGGTGGTGCCAAGATTTCCTCGACGGGGGTCCAAGGACCCCGACAAGGGGGGGGGTCTGATGTCCCCGACGAGAATAAAGTGGGCGAACAACCTCTCGAAAATTGTCCAGGGTTAAAGCCCCTCAAAAATGTGACAATTTAGGAGTTTCAAAGGCTTTTAAGTTTCAAATCAATTTTAGAGTCTACAGTATTAACATGTAGTAAATAAATATACTTTTCTTTCTTCCCGACGAATTGTGGTTTTTCTCCCCAACGAGGTGGGGGGGGGGGGGAAGCACAAACCTTCTCTACTAGGGCTGTATTTCCTAGCATCCCCCCCCCCCCCAGCGTCGCCACTGTAATCGAACGAGAATTACAAAGACCTGCAAGCAAACTGTTGTAAAGCATGTTAGGAATAAGTACATTACATTGGAAGAAGTTCATAAAAAGGGTGCACAACACAATCAATAAAGCACACTTAATTGCATCGGTCCTCACAATGTCTCCAAGCGAGTTATAAAATTTCCATTGTTCCAAGCAGAAATTATTTGACTGATTGTGTGATGCTGTGCATATGAACCAAAGAATGTAACAATGCCCTCACATCGGGCTCTGCCAATAGGTGCACGCCGAAAAGTAATGTTTGCTCCAGTCGACTTCTGCACCTTTTTAATTCGGTCCTCTACTGGGTATTGTATTTCCATTTCTTCCAGACCATTGGAACATATTTTAAACTGATCTTCGGTTTGCCCTTCGGGAAATCCACGTCCAAAGATACAATCCAGTGTACCAGACAGAGCTAACCTGTGATAGCTTCTCTCAGCTTCACGACTAAACCTCTGAATTAAGCTTCTACTAATGATAAAAGATGGATCGCCAGGTAGGTGATTAAAGTGGGGCAAAGATCTAGATTTAAAGCTGCCCAAATAAACCAAAAAACCTAGCAGAATATCCGAAGGTCTTTCAGAAAGAAGATCATTGCTTTCTGCAAAGTGTGAAAAATGTTGGATTAAAGCTTTTGTCCTTTCTAACGTTATACCTCGGGGATGGAGATGTTTATCCCAAAGTGTTAACACTTCAATGACAGATTTAATATGCGGACATCTCTTCGCTAACGACCACGTTGCCTCAAGGCCATGCATCATGGACACTTTTCCACGAGCATTCAAAATGTCGTCATCTAGTTTATTAATAACTTGCATTGCAGATAAGGTAGTTTTGTCCCCAAGGCGTGGTATCTTTATTTGAGCTAAAACATCCGACATAACCCAAGGAAAACTTAATAGGCCTAAATGTGGTTCTTCCTCTTTATAGGTCACAAAGTACCAAGCTGAAGCTTTTGCCATTCTCTTAATGTCGATCTGTTCTTCATTTTCAAACTCTGTATCAAAAATATGTCGATATTTCTTACGAAGATTACGAATCTTTTCAGCAACAAGTCTTTCTGTATCAAACCGTTCATTTCGTTCAGTAATTCGTCTACTGAGTTTAATAAGGCAACCGGACATGACCTCACTTTCTTTCTCAATACCATACTGTGTCATTATTGTCTTGAGATCATGGTTGTATTCATCCCGTGTCTTTAGAGCTCCCTCAACGTAATCTTCATACCCTTCACTTATAAGGTCTTCATCCAGTTTTACATCTCTGTATTCGCTTCCTTCATCCTGCTGCCATGTGACCGACTCAACATTTTGACACTGATCATAGAGTAATCCCAAAACTTTCTTCGATGAATAACTTGCTTTGTCGCGTTTTCCCATAAACTGCGGGTATATCGAAGGATGTTCATTCTTTTCCAACTCTGGACATGATCCTGTTTTTGGGAAATCAATTGCTTTGGCAAATTTTTCTGCAATATTGATACATACATCAGAATGTATTCCCTTTGGTTCAGAATCGGCAAAAGCCAAATGAGCATTAGAAATTATGCCTACCTTGTCATTTTTAATGTAATCTGATATGTATTTAATCATATCGTGCTCATTAATTTTACTATAGTGCTTTTTTGATGGTGAGGATGGAAAATCCATTGGTTTGACGTTTTCCTGGATTAACAGTTCCGGCATCCATGTTACAAAGTACTCATCACCATCTAAATCAGAGCCTGCCATCTCGTCAGGATGAGGTCTTTTACCTGTTTGTGGAAAGACAACACAATCTATCATGTGATGCAAAGATGGAACATCAACCGCCTCGAACTTCCTAATGTCTCCTGGGTGAAGGGCTGGAAACTTTGTGATCACAACAGGGCCTTTGTGAATCTTAGTTTCTTTCTGAGGATCGTTTATGTCCTTCGAGTATTGTACAAAGACTTGACCATACTGCAGAGTTCCTGATTCATCAAGAGTACCGATCATGTTTCTCCCAAATTCATCAGGAATTTCTATGCGAGCCTTCCTCTTCAGATTACCTTTGGGTAAGAAACAGATAAAAAGTTATTAGGTGGTAGAACATGTATAATTAAACTTTATGTGTTCTTATATAGAAAAATATTAAAATAATTGAAGAATAAACATGAAGGTAGTTAAAATGCACTGTGGAAAAACACCCCTAAAGTATTCAAATTATAATATTGAATTGGTCTTTCAAAAAGATAAATTTTCCAATAGCATCAAATAAAGCAAATATTAGAACAATACAGTTTCACTCATATACAGAATTCTTACTACGACCAAATAGAAAATATAATTTTTATCTATTTTTCAAAATGATAGCTAATAAGGTACATAAATATAGGTACCAATTATAAAGTATATTAGCATTTATCAGCCCAACACTGAGGTTTAAGAATAATCTATCTGTAAATCAATTGTTAGTAATGTGGTATCTATCTGCAGATTCGATGGTAATATTAGTAAATCAATATTACCTATATAATATCTGTACAGTGTACGTAACATTCCTTTGAAGAATGGTTCCCGAGTCAACGAGATACCACTTTCTGAAATAATTCTGAACGCCATGCCATTACGTACACGCTTTTTCAACGATTTAACTGCATTGGTTTCATCGAGCAGCATGTTAGCAAGATGGTAAAGCATATCCTCTTGCAGCCTCATAAATGCGTCATCCGGTACGCCCCTTCCAGAAAGCAGAGTAATTGCTTGTTTATTCAAAAATAGACGACCTAATGATAATCACAGCAATGATAATAATATAAATATCTATTTTCCGTTCAGAAACAAACATTTTCTTATACATAAAATGGATGGGCAGACAGAGGAGGTTTTCATACTCCTATACATTTTATTTATCGAACATTCAAATTAAAAAATCAACAAGGGAAAGAAATGCATATATTCTAACTATTTCATTTGACAAGAAGAGCGACAGCAATTTTTATAAAACGTTGAACCGTGTTTGACTGACGAATATCAATAAGAAGGTTTCATATTGCCGACATGATCGATAAACAAAATTGATATGATTATGGATAAGAATAAGGTATTAAAATGGAAAAATGAATCAAATAGTTGAAAAATTAAATGAAATTTAAAATCTATTCTATCATCCATTATATTGAATTTTATTAAAGTACTTCTATTTTAATATTCAAAGTATCAGCTGGCAGTAAATAATGGTGAGTGTAAAACCACCCTGCTTTTTAAACAGCCACTGAGCATGCATTGGTGGGTGGTCAAGGGGATCCTTACTCCACTCCCCCTTAAGCTGCCAAGCAAAAAAATTCTAGAACTACCTTTTCAGGATTCGTGAGCTGAATTTTTTTTGTTACAATGGGAAAATTAGATGATATACATGCCTGGATTTAAGGGGTGTTGGGATGCATGTAGCTTTTAGAAATTTCAATTTGGGTGTAAACTGTTTTTGAAATCTAAGTACTGTACAAAATAAATATACGGCTATAGAGCATATCTAACATAAAAAGTACCTGTAGAAATTTCCAGTCTTGAGAAGAGTTTACTGTAGTTTTTTGAGAATTGTATTGTTTTTATTTTGTTTCATTGCATCTTACATTTTCAAAATGATGATATATGTATAGCCTTAATATGTAGCTTGTTATCATAAAGCAATATCACTTTACCTCAATAAATAGTGTTTTTGAAATTAATCTATCTACACAGACAAGACCAGGGGATTCACCGGGTTTGAACAAACCCCACGCAGTGAAGAAAAGTATTTAAAAAAATGGGTCCTGGCCTACAAAGGCATGCTAACCTACCTAGGCATAGGTTGGCAGATCAGACAAAAAAGGCTCAGAATAACTAGTCTTCAATTGAATAAAATTAAAAACACTGTTTTTGGTTCGAAGTCGTAAACATTTTTTTGTACGAAAGTGCGTTCTTCATTCAAGGAAAAAAGAATATGTATGCACTACTCAATTTTTTTTTTCTGTACAGTATCTATACCCACACAATTTACTGTAATAGGAGAATGAGAAAATTTACCTGACCGTTCTCAAGAGGGGTAAAACCTTGAAATTTGAAGAACTTAAAAGTCATTAAAAGACACCTCAGAATTCGGGAAAGCTCATTTCCCGCCATATAAGAATCAAAGTTTTCCCGGGGCCAGACTCCCTTTCTTTTTTGGGTTTTCTGTAACATCTGTTTCGACCCCCGTCCTTCAAATCCTGGATCCGCCCTTTGGACATTCACTTCTAGTATATATTTAGTGAGTTGACCATGGAAAGTTGGGCTCTCATCATTTTTACCCCCCACCCCTAATGAACCCAGATCCTCCCCTGGCATGCGTAGGGATTTATGTTATAATCACCTGGTTTTGATTGATCCATGACCTCAAGCATACAGTGGCGGCTTTCAAACTTGTACATGCTTTCACGAAGAATAATTTTTTCTCCTGTTAGAGTCGGATCATAACTTATCACTCCTTTGTATCCTCCGTAGCGGATTTGAAAAGCAGACGGTTTGACTTCTCTGCTTAACTCTTTGCACACCTACATAAATAGTTGATTCAATTTAATGGAAACAGTTAGACCTACAGTAAACCATGAATGTTCCTTTTAATCATCATTATTATTTATTTATTAAAAATAAACCAATAAACTACAATTTTAAACTTTCGTTCTATTCTACAAAGTGTATCCCATGTAGAAATCACCCGACCTATCAAAACATTTTATAATGAACTGTTTATTCTGTAGCATTTAAAACATGAAATCACACAGAGCTGTCTCTAAAATATTCTTACTCCATTCAAATACTGGTATTGATGGGCAATTGTAAAGCGTATAATACTGAGTCTCTTTGCAGAAAGGATCAAACGTGAGAGGAGAAAATAGAAAAGAACAAAAAAAAAAAAAAGAAAATAAGGAATAGATTATACAAAAGAAACCCAAGTTAATGGGTAGAGGAGACTCATGTACGTCATCAGATAGGGCATGAATTGGTTTACATTCACACGACCAAAAAAACTCACTCAGTTTTAGGAAGATTAAAATATATCGAAGATTGACTACCTACTTTGTCACGCAGACCTCCAGATATTTTTCCAATTCCATCAGAAAAACAATATGGATTTCTTTCAATGTCTTTAACATGCTCAACCTGACCTGTCTCCACCTTTACCTCTACGGTTGACTCAGAAGTAGAAAAGCATTGCCCCATTCGTTTTATGTATTTTGCAACTACTCTAATATCGTGAAAATCACCCATGTTATTGCGTATTGTTTCTCCAGTATTACCAATTCTATCTCGTGCGTAGAGCCAACACCCATGATCACGTAGCTGACTATTGGAACATGCAAGAAACTTATACCTTCGATCACCAATTTTTACGCCTTTCAACAGAGTTTGAATGATTCGCTTGGCTATGTCAGTAGAACTATTAGCTTCCGTGCCATTTAGCTTGCGATAGTTTTCATCCCGAAAGACAATTCGGGCACAAAATTCTTCACCGTACTGCCTCAATATTCTATTACTGAACATCAGTTCTGGCTGTTCAAATATAAGCCTTGTTGGAGTGCAGTAAAAACGACGCACGTAAACGCATCTACCTGGAACCTCTTCTTTGGTTCTGTTATTTTTTTCATCATTCACAAGAACAAGAAATGCTGCTTTAAGGTCAATGAAATAGTCATTTTCAAGTTGTCTGTTCAATGAATACAGAGCTCTCTGTATTACTTCTTCACTAATAGTTTTTTCTTCGTCCATTCTCTTGACTTCATCTAGCAATTTTTTACAATGATGGGAAGATGTTCTTCCAACAGAAAGAAATGATTTTATTGCATACTGCGTTTCGAAACTTGAAAATGTGTGTTCACAAACAAAATCATTACGAGTGTCGAAAATGATGTTGGTTTTAGCATAGTAAACCCTAAACGCTTGTGAGCATTCGAAACGTTTAAGTATCTTATCAACTGTATTCTTCAAGTCACCTTCGAAAGCAACAGCAAGTACCGAAGAATTACCAATAACCGAGGCGGAGTAACCAGCAAAGGCAGTTGTTCGATTCCACTTCGTGTTACCAGACACCAAACTGGAATCTGCACGCCGAATGCGTGGAGGCACGTTTACAAATAAGTACAGACTTGCTTTGTCACTCTTTTGATAATCAACCAAAACGATTTGCTGAAAGTCGTCATAATGGAATTCCATTCTGTGTCAAAAAAATGATAACCAAATGTTCTTTCATGTTTCAGATGTTTTGATAACACTTTATATATAAATTTTAAAATCAATATGATCGCCTAAGAGAATATTAAGAGCACGAGGGCCATATATATACAGTACAGTCTGTTATAAGAAATCTGGAAAACATTAATAAAAAATTCAATACAAGAATCAAGGATGTATAATTTTATAATAGTTCCATGCAAAATAAGTTACCGTACAACTTTTGATTAATAAGACACAGATCAAAACGATTCTATTTCGTTGACATAAAGTTTGAAAAATTTTTAGAGTACCAAGTTACATACAATGATTGTGTTACCAACAAGCAAGGTAATGGGTAGCATAGTCAGTTACGCTGAACATTGGCGACACCAGTAAGTGAAGGATGTGAAGGGGTTCTTCCCTCACATTGGACAAGGGAAGACCCTTTTGGTCTCTGTTGGCAATATAACCTCATGTTAGACAGTTTTGACTAGCCTCCATTGACCATGAGGCATCATTCCATATAGCTTCCCCTTCTAGTGATCTAATTCATTATATGAACCATAATCACCTGTGTGGGAAACGTTTCCTCCCTTTCTCGATGAAATCGATTGTTAACAGTTTTGAGTCATGTTCAAATGTCACCTTAACATCATTATCTTGCTGCTCAGCGGCTATGAACTCCCCACGATTACGTACGGACCCTAAGGTGAACGATTTTACTTTTATTCCAGGGTGGTGTGGTTCGCCCCTGCCTCGGCCATATACGTCTTTGCTTACTGGTCGTAGCCACGGAAAGTAAATGAGCTTCTTACGGCACCATTGTTGACGGACCTGTTCAGGGAAAATGTGAAGAAAGAAATCTTATTAAATATCAATAATTTAAGAACTGAAGAGTACTGTAGCTTAGTTGTAGATATATTACTATTTTTACATACATTATATATATAGTAATCAAAACCAACAGCGGTGGACTACTGTACATAGGCAAATGTGTTCAATCAAACAGACGAGGTTCTTAATTTGCTGCATTTTTAAATAGATTCACAAACGTTTTCGACCATCTAGGTCTGTCGGTGATTTATTTAAAATTAATTGCAGCAAATTAACCACCTCGTCTGTTGTGTGATTGAATATACATAAAACAAACTATTTTCAGCTTCCTAAACAACTTTTTTTTATCCGTGATGTCTTCTGCAATGTTTTAGGTTTTCCAATGAATCAATTCAACAATTTATTTATTTTTTATGTTAGTTTATATCAAATTTATTATTCTTAATGTTTTGATATCCATATGTACATTTCTGTAAAACTCAAGTTCACTATAACACAATTAAAACCTTATACTGCCAATTTTTAGATATTTTTTACAATTTTTGTTATTCTTATTGTATTTATTTTTATAGCAATACAACATTTAAAAAAATCAACAAACTCCAAGATGAAGCCATGGAGCAGTAAAGATAAACCGCTCTCAACCACAAATTGCTTCTCTATTTTATCAATAATGTCCCTGAGTGATGAAGATAATCGTAAAAAAATGTGTGTTTATAATCAAATAAAGTGTAAAAAGTATTAGGCCCTCCATCTGTGAAAGTTCCTCCTTGCCCCCCACCCCCACACCCTTCTATTACGAATTCCTGGATCCGCCACTGAGAATATTGCTCTATGCGACAACGATATAATGCTTGCAAATGAGCTAGAAAATAATTTTATTTTTTTTTCCCCTTTTAGAATGATGCCAACAGCTAAGACACAGTTTAAAATTTCAAACCTTACCTCTTCAAAGCATTCAGAGACGGCCAAATCTGAAGTCATTTTGACATGCCATATATGTAGCAGGTTTCCAAAGTGGCGCCATTCTGCAATTTTACTAATACTATTCACTTTCAAAGTAAGATTCCAGTCAATTTTGGTGAGAATGTCATCTGTTGGAATGTCAGACTTGGTTTGAAATAAAACCTCGAAAGTTGTCGTTCTCAGTGATGGTTTTACAGCCATTTTACTATTGTATTAACAGGAGTTCTGGAACAAATACAAACACCATGAAGCTAAATTCTTGGAGTTCATATCTCATCTGATCTCACTTAATGTCTGCTCGAGAGCCTCTAGATCGCTTGGTTTCATTTCCCGTATTTCTGTTGGCCAAGGTTTTCTTTTCTTTTTGCAATTGTACATGTAAAAGTCCATTGTTTTACCTGTTTTAGATTATTGCTGTTCTGTTTGGGGACCGACAAGGTCACATGTTAAGCAGCTTGAGAACATCCAAAAATCTGCAACAAGAATAGCTTTTGTTCAATAAGGGGGAAATATGAAGTATGTCCTTTGGATGCCAAGAGGACGGTGTCCAGGGTTTGATTTGCTCTTAGTTACTATTGGGGGAATTCCCAGCCTCTATGAATATTCCATAAGTGATGAATTCCAGTCATAATAGATTCAAGGTTCATACCACTCTATTCCAGAATTACTTGTAAATGTCGAAGCAGCTAAACTCTGAAACACTCTCCTCCTGACATCCATTCCCAAGTTGACGGTATTTCTTTTAAAACTTCTCTCTTATGAATATTTCAATTTTATCTTTTTAACTTCATTTTATTTTATATGCTATTTTATATATTTTATTGTATTGTTGTTGGTCAGGGGTTTAGAGATGACCACTTGTTGTGTTGGGCTTTAGCACATGTCATCTCTAGTCATGGCCCTGAGATATTTTGTTAAAAGGTCAATGTATAATTATCTATTTTTCTTTATTGAAAGTGTTTTTATTTTATTTATAATTTATATTTATGCATGTTTACATAAATATAATTATTATAATCATCATTATATTTATTATTATTATTTTATTATTACAGGTATATTTATTATTATCATAAAGATTTAGGTGTTTTAATTGATAATAAGTTAAATATTTGTTTACATGTTAATTTTGTTGTGTCAAAATCAAACAAGATGCTTGGTTTATTATGGAGGAATTGCAGGTTTATGAAAAATGGCAAGACATTAGTATCTCTTTACCGTTCAATTGTGCGCCCCCATTTGGAATATTGTTCTGTTATTTTTAGTTCAGTTTCTTTTACACAAGCTCAGCGTATTTCTAATGTTCAGAATAAGTTTATTAGGTTTCTTAGTCATACTTGTCCCAATTATAATATGTCTCTTGAAAATCGTAGAATTATTTTTGACATGGTTTTTTTATATAAGTCTTTAAATTCCATTTATGATTGTCCTCTTGTTTCTATGTTCAGTTTAAACATCCCGACTCGTACCCGCAGTAAGTGTTTACTTCATGTTCCTTACGGTCGTGTTGATTGCACAAAACGGGGTATTTTTCAACGTTTACCGAACGAATTTAATAGACTACTTGATACTTGTTTTAATATTGATATTTTTTATGATAGTCTTAATATTTTTAAAAGCAAAATAATTAAATTTGTGTAAGTGTATTTTAGTTTATTTCAGTTTTGAAGTTTATAATATATATTTATATATGTTTTAGTTGAACCTGTTAGTGGCGGTTTTCATCGCTGTTGGTTTTATACTGAATAAAATAAAATTTAAAAAAATAAATTATTATTATTATTATTATTAGGCCTATAGCCCAATAAATCAGGCTCTTTGGGTATGAATTGAAAAGGAACTTGTCGTTGAGGGTTATGCTTTGATACGATTGTAAAATCTTCCTAAAATACAAAATATGTATCAGTGGTTAGGGAATGGATTCTCTCAACAGGATGAGGAGGTCATCTCCAGCAGGGGTGTGGGTAATGCCTTGACGAGTGGGCCGATGTCCCCGACGTGGTCAGTGGATATGTAAAGTCATTCTTTATGAAACACAATAAAAGAATGTGACAAACAACCCAGGTCATGGCTTAATTAAGCACATGCAGGATGGGAACTTACAGAGACAAGAAAAGCATGATGCTTGTACAAAAAAAATCAATTACGGTTTCAGGACAAAACGGCAATAAACCAAAAGGGCAATGAGTCAAAACAGCAATAACCAAAACGGCAAAAAACCAAAACAGCACTTTTTACTTACCGAACACCTTTTCGACCAGAACAGCAATAGACCAAAACGGCAAGACCAAAGCGATGCTAAACAATTTATGTCATAAAAGTAAAAACGCAAAAAAATAAACTAATTATAAACTCAAACATGAAAGTGTACTACGAATGGCAAAAATGGTAAATATCAGCAGCAGCAGCAGCAGCAATAATATCAATAACAATTAATAATAATAATAACAAAAATATCAATAATAATAATAATAATAATAAAAATAATAATAATAATAATAATAATAATAAAAATAATAATAAAAATAATCATACAAATTCAATATTAAAAATATTGCCTTGGATGGGGCCAGGGAGGAATAAAAGCAGTAAAACATTAAACAAATAAAACTCCAATACAAAAATGAGGTTAAACAATTTATGTCATAAAAGTAAAAAAATGCAAATTAATAATAGACATTAAAAGTGGGGAAAAGAGCCCATGGCGATATTTGATTTGCCTATCGGGACAATCTCAAAATGATTCAGAAAATTACAAACTGCGGCACACACCCAGTGGCGCTTGCTAATCTTGGCATTGATTTCACTCCTTTGCCATTTTGGTATGCCGTTTGGTACTTGTCATTGCCGTTTTGGTCCGTTGCTGCTGGGGTTCATCGCCGTTTTGATTGATTGCCATTTTTGTTATTGACGTTTTGGTCATTGCCGTTTCGGTTTATTGCCATTTTGACCTGCTACCTCAATTACAAATAAAGACAATTTTACCAGCGGCTCAGGCGAGTGTCTGGTGTTCCAGATAAAAATAATAGCTGCTGGTCATTGCCAGCTCGCTGATTTGCTTTTTATACTTTTTACATCGCTTATTATTTAATTTTAAAATATTATTTAATCTCATTTCATATCTTTAGAATACTCCCCTAGAGAACCCACCTCCACAGGCAAAACACTACATTTATAACACGAGCTTTTTAATTAGGTCAGGCCAGTTACGTTAAATTAGACCTACACACAGTGGCGCTGT